AAAAAAAAGTCGTCTTTTTGTTGCCTTTTTCTCTATCACGCTTTAGAAATCATCAGAAATTATATATCAATTGAAAACTTTAAATCTCAAAATTCATCCTTTGAAACCCATTTTAAAATCAAACATTGCATTACCATGAAAATGGTACATCAATATCATGTTACAAAATGTTTTCGTTCATGAATTATACAAATTTAAGTTTGGATCGTGCACTTTCATGTCTATGTTCAAAAATGTGAGTGACAGTTAAGGGGTTAAGGATGGAATTGTTCCTTACAAACATGCAGCCTTTTGTTTAAGAAAAAAGATAAGATGTTAACTGATGAACTGTAGTCGTGTGGATTACTTGTGGATTATTGTGATGTGTTTATCAGCTGTTTGAACTCTCATTCTGACCGCACCCATTCACTGCAGAGGGTCTATTGGTGCGCAAGTGATGTAATGTTAAATTTCTCTAAATTTAACATCACAAGCAAATGATTAAGATAGAAACTCATTTACATTTTGTATGGCCTGAGGGTGAGTATTTTATTTATTTATTTTTTTTCATTTTTTGGTGGACTATTCCTGTAAAGTTTGTGTATATTTTTGGTCACCATTTATTTTAACTTTTTTCTTCCTTTTTCCTGTCGGCGTCAAATGCATTTTAAAAATGCCAAATATTTGATGTAGTCTCTCAATTCATATGAGATCATAAAAACTGCATGCAGAATAATCATACACGAATTAGAAAAATGTTTAATGGTGTAGCATGTCACTATGGTTGTCTCTGCATGTTATGTTAGCTACAAAAGAACAAAGAGCAATAATGTACTACATCTTCCAGTCTGTTTCCCATTATGCTTCAGTGACAGATCTTTGGTTGTGCGAGCACGCCGCACAAGGATACTGTAGCTCCTCTCGTTTTTCACTGATCTGGCACTTTGGATAGGAACACGACTTGCAGTGCTGTCTATTTTAGATTGAACTATTGACTTCTGAAGGAGGTTATATCAATGTCAAATAGACAAAGGAGTTTTGTATGTATGTCTCTCTCACACACATACACACTATTCCTCTTACAAATTTTCAGATGGACTTGTATGACAAACAAACAAACAAAAAACTGCAGCGTATATATTTAACATATTTACATATTTTGCAGTAATGTAATATGCACAGAATGTCATGTTCCTAAAACATAAAAAAATGAGAATTCTGTACATTTGGAACATACTGTATTATATTAAGCTTTTTTAATGAAATCAGGGTAAGCTATAACGGATTTTTGATGACGCAATGAACACCAGGGAAACTTTAGTTATTGCTGCCCTCTGGCGAACATTTTGAAACACTGCAAATGTGCAATTAATATGACATAAAATCGATTTAGATTAATTATTAGAATTAAATGGAAAACCATGTCATTTATTTAATTATCTGCATAAGTAATAACCTCAAACTCTGTACTCTTATTTGCTTGTGCTTGTCGAAGAAAGGCTTCATGAAACTTGTGGGAAAACTCGAATCAAATTCGCAAACACTGAATCAAATCATGAAGCAAATGAATCGGTTAAATGAATCAAATGCTACTTATGTATAAAACACACTACGTTTAACTTGAGAGGAGCAAACTATAAATAATCATTATATAGTGAATTTAGACAAGTTTGTCATAGGCTATTTACAGTAGTAATCTAAATGAGGAAGCTATTGCATTTTTATAAACCCTAGATGGCAGTACGCTGCAAAAAAAAAAAAAATGTTCAAGGTTGAAAATAAAACAATGATTATTGAAGATATACAATAAATACTATTTCAGATTTTCTACTTCAAAATGCCATGTATTATTCAATGTGGTATAAGTCTATAACTTTATTATAAAAGTTTTGTCTCCTGTTAAAATTTAATAATGATGTATAATCAAATCTGCTAACTAAAACTGTATTTCCTTTGCTGCATTGCCCCCATGGAATGCTGATTTATCATCTTTATAAATGTTAAATATTGTTGGATGAACATGTAGTATGCCATCACAGTGTGGCATTAATTATTGGAAAAAAATCACCATTAAAAGACAAGCATTGACTATTTAATAGCAGCACAACTGGGTGAGAGGAGGCATGTGATAAGAAGTGTGGTTATTGTAGAACAAATCCATTAAATGTCAACTAGACTACTGATGCAAACAGAGATCAAATACACATAAAACACTGGAATAAGACTGTTTTAAAGCTGATGTTTTGTCATCGATAGAATCTGTAGAAAGACAAGTGTAGTTTTTCCTCTGACCTCCAATTTCATGCTTTGCTTGGGGCTGCTGAAGATTTAAGACAGGAAATTAAAACTTCAGACAGAACCGAGTAAGAAAAGTGGCTTGCAGAAGGTAAATGTGCTTGAAGGAGGAGTAGAGGAAAATAAAGCGCAGGGAAACTAGTGTGGGAGTTGGTGTGGAAGGCCAAAGCCCAGCTCCAACAACTCAAAGTTCATATCCTAAAATATTTCCATTCTTGTAGTAAAAGTGGGATAAAGGTTTATTTGAAAGTTAAAGTGTGTGTTTGTGTGAGCAGTTATTGATCTGGGTGGTTGGCACTTTACTGTTATGGGAGGAAGTGTTTATTTAAAGTGACATTATGTTTGGAGTATTTGCGCACTCAAACATGCAGCGGGGGATATTTTTGTCATATGATTGCTTATGTTGTGGAGTATTAGAATAATAGTTTAGTGTCGAATTTTACACATTTTGGACTTTGTCTCTAATTATTATCATCTGTCTCATCATTTTGTGCTTGTAATGTCATAGAACATTGAGGAAAAAGATATTTCAAGTTTCCCTCATCTTTTGACCAATGAATTCTTATCCTATATAGATTGCACTCGCAAAATTCTATTCTATTCTATTCTATTCTATTATTAAATAGCATTATTATACACTAGTCAACATCTGAAGTGGATCAAAACCTTTTAACAAAGTTGTCCTAAAACCTAAAACCAAAATGCGTTCTTGTCTTAGTACAACTTTTTTTTCCACTTCAGATGTTGACTACTGTAATTTAATATTTAAACGTTGAATATAAGAAGAAAGGTATATTTACTATAAAAATGCCATATAAAGATAATAATTGCATGTTTCCCAGGCCGGCTAATCTGTATTTCCTGGATATTTCCATTTTTCCATGATTGTAGGAAGCCTGGTACGTGTTTATGTGATTGTGGGATGGTCAGACTCTCTCACAAAAGGTGGTAGTTTTCATTTAAATCATGAAAATCAGTGTTGTAAATGAAAACCAGGGTAGTAAATATGTTTTTCAACACCTGGTTGCTGTCAATGCAAAAGGTCATGCAATCTGTACACTTTTCTGTCCAACCAGGGTGGGAAAAAATTAATGTGTTTAGATTTTCCTATTGTCTGTGTATGAGCCTGATTTAAATAAATCAGCTTATGATTGTAAATCATGTTAACATGAAAGTGGGATTTGCTGTGTGAAATCTGCCTCAGTAAAAACAGATAAAACCCTAAAGCACGACCACAGAGGACACTAGTCACAGCTCTGACAAGGAGACCAAACTGCACTCAAAGGTTATGTGTTCTGTAAGCAGAACAAATAAAGCTTTATTTGCATAGTGGGGCCACTAACCAGTCACACACACACACACACACACACATACACACACACACACATACATACGCATGCACAAGCACATATTGTTTTTATCAGCGTAGAATCCTCAGGCAAGCCTCACAATTGAGCTTCAAAAAGCAAAAGAGAAAGCAAACACTGTCCAGAACAACCACTTTAAAAGTTAGTGAAGCCACACTGTTTGTCATGTACTGTCATGTAATTATTCTGATGAAAAACATACACTACCAGTCAACCGTTGGGACACACCTACTCATTCTTTATTTTTACTATTTTTAACCTTAGAATATAAACAACACAAATGGAAGTATGGAACTTTATGTTGTGAGCTGATCACTGTTAAACAAATCCAAAATACTTCGATTTTAGCTTCATAAACATAGCCACCCTTTACCTAGACTGTAGCTCTGCATACACTTGGCTTCTCCAGTCAACTTTTAAACAGTATTAAATGAATATCTATACATGTTGAACACCTGTTGTCTGCTTTTCTTTCATAAGAAAGAATATTTATTATTTCATATTTTATTTAAAATTATACATTTGTGAAGGAATTAATATACAAACAAAATGATATCCTACAATATTTTATATATTTATTTACATTTATTTATTTATTTATGAGAACCATGAAGTCAGTCAAGTGTGTCCAAACCTGTGGCTGGTAGTGTGTGTTTACACAACATAGAGCAAATAAACATCTTTAGTGTCAGCAGGGGGAATGTGTGAAACATCCCATATGTATGATACTCCCTCACCTGTTTTAGCACAAACACATACAGTAGAAAATGTAGAAGCTTAGAAGCTACATTAGTGATGAGCTTACATACATGCATATAAACATATCTTTTTGTAAATTGCAGGACATCTTTTTTCAAATTTTCAAACAAGATGTTGTCAAGCCATCTTTCATTTTTTCTTGTTAAAAATCAGTCATACAAATATAACATATTTTCATTTTTGTATTTTAACTCTACTTTTCTAAATCTAGATGTAAATCAGTTCAATTCAATCTTGCTCAATTCAATCTTGCAAGTGTACAACCCCTTGTTTTTCATATTGGGGACTTTCCATTAAATGTTATACTTTTTACACTAAACTAATACCTTATGTCTAACAATATCCCTACCCCCACATCGAAACCTTTTCTTTCATTTCTACGTTTTCATTTCTATTTAGCATGTTTATTAAGCCTGCCCTCGTGGTATTTGGGCTGGTCACCACAACGTCAAAAATTTACCTGGTTTACTGTCTATGTGGAGAGAGACATTTGCTCCCCACAATGTAGGCGACACTAAAGCCACACACACACACACACACACACACACACACACACACACACACACACAGACAGAGGCTGCACCTCTAGGGGGACTCCAGACTTCAGTGGATAGTAGCAGTGCGTGAAGAATCATGAAGACGAACGTGACTATCAGCAGTGTGCGCGAGAATGTAACCATCGCCCAGTCAGTCACTCGCGGTTAAACACGCTCTCGGTCAAGCGACAGATCCACTCCGTGATTTCGCGATTGAAACACGTTGCGCTGCTGATTCATGGGGGCTTTCGGTGAGTGCTGCTTGCCCTACGGATGTGCTTTCGCTTACTCTTGAAATGTGTGCTTGTTTTGCAGTGTGTTGTGGGGCTTGTAAGCAGCGGCAGCGGCGTAAGAACCTCGGGCAACATGTTATAGTTGCAGCAGTCGTTGATGAAAGCGAATTAACAGTAGAGTAAGGATATGTAGCTGCGTTTGTCTTTTAAGATCAGTCTCTTCGTGATCAGGTATGTTGAGCTTGCAGTAACCTTACTGCAGGGACTCTATAATGCACTGCACTAGAAACCAGACACATTCTCTACATTTCGGAGTTTGTTTATGGTGATTACTTGTTTAGCAACTGTGGCAGCATTTAAATGTAGTGTGACTAAATCATGCCATTGCACTGGATAGGTCATGAGATTGTCTAGTCTTTCAGTGTTACGCTTGTAGACTCTCATGGTATTGCTTTTGAGGTAGAGACACATTCTAAGTGGGATACACTGACTTATTTGATCATATCTCTCTGTTTTTGTATGATTTTGTGTGTGTGTGAGGTGTTAAAGTAAAGGCTTTTTCTTCTGTCAGACATTACTGTTTATAGTTTTACTGCAGCAAGTTAAACGTTTCATCGTCCCTTACTTTTTTTTCTCATGTCAGTACTGAATGAATGGTTGAATCTTCCTGCCAAGTTAAATTAGTGCTTGCAATCGAACGTGAAGCCACAATGTCTTAAACGTTTCATCGTCCCTTACTTTTTTTTCTCATGTCAGTACTAAATGAATGGTTGAATCTTCCTGCCAAGTTAAATTAGTGCTTGCAATCGAACGTGAAGCCACAATGTCTCTAGAGTGGGATCCATGAAGGAAAAACCAGCCTGTGTTTCCCACAGACCAGCATAACTTTATTTAGATAGCTGTGTTTGATTTTGATCAATAATACACATTTAGCCTTTCAAGCTTACGCATTAAAGGGGAGTTGAATTTTGAAATGTATTTTTGACATGTAGATGGTTTTTATTCCACAAATTATTATTTTTTTCTGCAAGACTGTAGGCTAAAATATGTTTTAGAGAAAGTGTTTATCTTGGAACTGTCAACATTTCTATTAGGTTTTTCAGAACTAACACATTTTTGACTAGTTAATTTTAATGAATTAGAAAGACAATGTATAAATTGTGTGTGTGTGTGTGTGTGTGTGTATATATATATATATATATATGTATATATATATATGTATATGTGAGTATGTGCGTGTGTGTGCGTAATTGGGAAAAAAAAAATTTTTTTTGATTAATTGCATGCTAAAACTTTTTTGATGGATGTAATTGTGGTTAAAATCTGTATTTCAAAGTTACATTTGAGTTAGTTACATCTCATTTCATTTCCAGACAGTTAGTCCTTAAATAAATCTTTGAAGTCACTAATGCCGCTGACATGAGGTAAAGTGGTGACTCATCTGAGCAAATTTGGGGAAGCATGGACAATTTAATCTGAATTACAGAGCGTTGACTTATGATGACAAAGTCCTTTGTTGTCAGACAGCAAGCTAGAAACTGGCCTGTGTTTATATTTTGGGAAAATGTTCCTGTCTTAAAACACACCGTTTATGTGGTTAGCTTTGAAAGTCAAATCCTAGGCATTTGGAAAGTCGGATTAACCTAAATCTTTTCAAACGTTTGTATTTGTGATGCTATTTTTCTTCCTTGTGCATTCGTAGGTTTACTGTGAGATTGATTGGACGCTTTCATCATCAGTCAATTCTAGCTATAGAGTATTTCCTCTTATTTTATTTTCAGCTCTTTTAATTTGCTCTCATGTGAACTAACATTTCTGAGAAAGCAGAATAGCTGGTTAATTACAGCTTGAAATCAATACTCTTTATTAACCTATTGAGGCATAAACACGAATAAACACATATTAATGTCAGCAGCGAATTCAGCAACAGCTATTAGCAGTAATCACAGACAGATAATCTCAGAGAGGTTTGTGTCTTGTTCCTTTTTCATTTTCATGCTTCACTCATGCTGCATGTGCTCTATTTGTATCGTACCAGCAGACTCAGGTGGCTGAGAGATGCAGAGATCTTGGCGCTATACGGGGATTTTCTGTTGACCCTGTGCTTAAGTGGGTGTCGTGGAACTTGACAAACCCTGTGCTCAGAAAAATGCTGGTAATATTAGCTCTCTACACGAGAGTAAATGCTGTGCCTTGCTAAAAAGAGCAGTGCCGCCACACAAAGGGGAAGCCACACAGGTAAGTTGACCTCGCTAAACAACTTGGCAGCTTTCACTGTGTAAATACGCTACCAGTTAAAAGTTTAAACACAGTTGGCCGACTTTGCTTCTCATGATTCTAAAAACCCTTTTGATCTAAAGTTCATGCTTAAATGCATGGAATTAATTGTGTAGGCAAATATAAATTGCAGTTATGTAGGAATTTAGAAGGAAAAGCATGGGAATTTTCTTCAGTATTGTCTAAAAAACTGGATAATAAGTGGAATGGCCAACAATTATAGTGTCGGTTATATTTTTAGAAACTCTGTTATGTTTTTAAGAATGAGCTTCTGAAGTGTTCAAGAAAATATTTTGTATAGTGTGTTTATAGTAAGTTTAATTGTGTATATTTTATTATTTTTGACATGAATATAGACTTTGATGCTGATATGTCAAATAAAATAAATAAATAAAATAATATATGTTCATTGATTTATTTTTAAGCAGGTTTTCTGTTCTTATGGACCTTCTTTTTGCTTTTAGAATGTCTTGGGTCAATGGCTTTAAATCTGCAAGAGTGGACAACCATACGACGGCATGGGGTGAGCGCAATGGCAGGAAGTCAAGGCGTAAAAGGGGCTCGTCCACGTGCAACCCACGCTACATGAGCTGTCTACGGGACCCCGAGTCTATGGAGCCCCCATCGCAACACTACTCCCGTGCAGCAGGGGGCGCCACCAGCAGCAACTTCAGCACACGCTGCGTTTGGCAGGAAGACCATTATGGCAGGAAGGGTGATGTGGGCCTGAGAGCCGTGGACCTGGCGTTTGAAGATTCTGAGACGAGGCAAACGAAAGATGGCGAGGACCCCGATGACGGCGGAGAGGAGAGGAAGGGTCTCGACAGGTGTTTTTTGACTTGCTTGTTGCGTCTGGCTCACGTTTTTCAGTCCAAGAAGTTTAAGTCGGCCAAGCTCGAGCGACTATATCAACGGTACTTCTTCAGGCTCAACCAGAGCTCTCTTACGATGCTCATGGGGGTCCTGGTTGTGGTTTGCGGGGTTATGCTGGCGTTCCACTGTGTCCAAGGTCCACCAAATGTGGCGTTTGCCTCGGTGCTCTCCGTAGCCATGGGCCTGTTCTTAGCCTTGATGGTGGTGTGTAACAGAAACGGCTTCCACCAGGACTACATGTGGATCGTGAGCTATTTGGTCATGGCGGTGTTAGTGGTGGTGCAGGTGTTTGGCTTGTTAATGGTGGCTCCACCCAGTGCATCTGAAGGGATATGGTGGACGGTGTTCTTCATCTACATCATCTACACACTGCTGCCGGTGCGAATGAGAGCAGCTGTGATCACTGGAGCTGTGCTGTCCACCATTCATATGATTATGGCATGGAGACTCAACCTTGAGTATTACTTCATTACTAAACAGGTATGTGTATGCTTCTGATACAATTAAAATTTAAAGAGGAATATTACACACAAATATGAAAATTAGGCTATTTACTTAACCATGTTGTTCAAAACCTTTTGTATGCTGTTTTTTTTTTTTTGTTCAGTGAAACACAAAAGTAGAATTTTCTAATGAATCATCAAGTTCCCTACTATGTATGTCAATCTCCAAAAAGGACAAAAAAGACCATAAATGCACAATTAAAGTGCTCCATGCGACTTATGCATGATATTTCAAGTATTCTGAAGCCATATGAATGAAAAACGGGCCTAAATGTGTTATTTTAATTATTAGTAATTTTAAAAATAATTATTTATTATTTACTGATTGCTCATCCTCAAAGCTTGCATTTTTCTTCTTTTTAAATAAATAACTATGTTTATTTATTTATATTTATTTTCTTTTTACGATTTTGACACTATGTAAATAAGGCTTCTAAATAGGATGCTGCATTTTTACAGTTTATTCACAACTGAGAATTAAAGGTAAGCTTCACTTGCATATACAATTTTATAATAGTTTATTGGTGATTTTTTGAATGTTTTTGTCCTTTTTGAGCTTGTCAGTTTTGGTCTGTGTAAAAATGCATAAAAAATGTTCCACAGAAAATAATAACAGCATATGAATTTAAAACGGCATGAGGGTGAGATAATAAAGACAGAATATTTATTGTGGTTGAATTATTCCTTTAATATACAGGAAAATGTCCAGCATGAGAGTTTTTTATTTTTTGGTATGCGTGTATTAGCAGTAGTACACTTTGAAGAAAAGAATTGCACATTATTTACACCACATGTTGCAATGCCACAGTGGTGGAGAATAAGCGCCAAGTAACTGATCAGTTGAAGGCACAATCTTTCACATCTCCAAATTCTTTGGAGTCACAGAGTTCAATGGATAATTGGTTATTGTTTGAAAGCTTTGATTGTTTCAGTACTTTTAAAGGAATGCCTGGCATGACAGTTTCAGACTGCAGTGTAGATGGATCCTAGTTAGCAAAATTCTATTCCCTTTTCAAACTTTGCTTAGTCCTTCACTGCTCTTAATATGATGCATTTAACATGCAATGTTTCCATGCAGGGGCTAAAATGCGTCTATTGTGTCAGCTCCACGTTCGATGTGATCTAGTTCTGACACTGTTAATACTGGTTCAGTGAGCTTGGGCTTTTGCGTGTTTGCTCCTTAGACAGCTGGGCTGAGGGCACTCAGCAATATAGAAAATAGACAATATAGACTCAGGCCATGGCCCGGAGCATGTACTTGTAGATTCTCGTCATAGACATTTGGGATAGGTTCCAGCCCTGTGGGCAATCAATGCAGGACAAAAGTCCATTGGTTGTGTGGCTGCTTAGCGCCTTATATAAATGCTCTCTCGCAGAGAGCAAGCAAGGTATGCCTCCATGTTTGCTCTGTGATCTTTTGTTCTTAAAGTACATTGATGAGAATACTCTTGTGTTGAAGATGGTAGGAGCTGTTCAGTATTCTTGTAGTTTACAAATGTAGAGTGACCGGTCAGTTTGATTACAAGAACTGTATAATATCCCGTATAATATACACTACAGTTCAGAAGTTTGGGAGTCCGTAAGATTTTCATTTTTTAATGAATACATTTATTAATCATTACAACTTTTAAACATTAAAACTGACATTTACAAAATATTTCTATTTCAAATAAATGCTGTTTTTTAAAACTTTCAATTCATCAAAGAATCTTGGAAAAAGTATTGATTTACACAAAAAATATTAAGCAACTGATCTCACCATTGATAATAATTAGAAATGTTACTTGAGTGCCAAATCATCATATTTGAATTATTTCCAAAAAACAAAGTGCAGTATTTTCAGTATTAATTTAAAGGGTCATGAAACCCCAAACTACTTTTTCTGAGATTTTAGCAGAGGTGTTTGTGTTGCACATCATAGAAGACAATGTTAGCATCCAATAATTTTAACTATTGGAGAAAACTGGTTAATTTTAAGCTTTTTTGCGCTATTTTATAGGGATGCACCGAAATGAAAATTCTAGGCCGAAGCCGAACAAAATGAAACACCGAATACCGAACCGAGCTCATGCAGCGCTGTCAGAATACATGCAATTCGTGCGTGCATTAGAAAATATAACATTCTGCAGTTTATTTACTAATCGTTTGAGGTAATTTTGCGATTTCAATCATCATACAGTAACCTAACCACCAGCATTAGCCACCTCTTCTTCTCATCGGAGACTTGATGCAGCACTAAGTCTCTCGCTGTAGGTGCTTCACGCATGTAATGATTTCTGCGTCTTTCTCTGATAGTTTTAAATACTTTCACACTGTCAACATGTTTGCTGCATTAACGCGTGCCTCTATTTTGATCGAGTTCAGTTCATATTATTCGGCCTTTTCGCTTATTCGGCCAAACACCGAAAAAGATTTTTTTGCTATTTTCGGCCGAATAATTTCGGTTGCCGAATATTCGGTGCATCCCTACTATTTTCATCTTCCAGGTTTAAAATCTACATCGTGTTGAAGTCACAATTTGTGACGCGGCAATGGACTATAGTACGTCGATGACACGTCGGTGTCTATTAAATTATTCATGAGACTGCGTGTTCTTATCCTATAAGAAGCTTCGCTTAATTATTCACAACAGCATGTGTTGATTTACTATGACAGACGTTTCAGACTGTGAGATTGCGTACATTATCTTAGAGAAACGTTCATGAATCGAAGGAGAGTGTTTGTTTTTGCTTTTTTAATAAGAGTTCGGCACAAACGCGATTCATTCACTTATTGAGTATAACCGTTTTTACAGCTCCATGACACAACCCGTCAAAAGGCTTATATAATCGCCGCAGAATAAGCCTTAAAAAGTTATCAGAGGTGCAACAGCACGTTCATGTATGTTTTCGATACAGATGTCACGGAAAGATGGCTGTGCATTTATTTGTGTTTTTAACTCGATGGGAGCGAAATGAAACTGTCTGAACCCGAAGCTGTGTGTGTTGTCTGTCCTCCCTTCTTCCCCCTCCGCTCGCAGCGCACCACGCCCACTTTTTTAGCATTTTTTAAAACTGTGGTGAGAACTAACCAGTGCTGAAACAGGGGGTTTCATGACCCTTTAATGTTATGACTGATATTGTATAAAATTATACTTTTTTCGTCTAAACACACACACTAGAAACTATATGACTTGTTTCAAATGCTATTTAGAATGAATTAAATTAGTTTAGTTTAGGACTGAATATTGCTAAAGAGTTTATTTATTACAGTTATGTCAGATTAACTTTACAGATCTAAATTTGCATCTCTTCAAGATATGCAGTAATTAAATATCTATCTATAACTTTTCTGTTTGAATGTGTAAGAAACCCAAAGATTATTGGAGTACATTTTAACAGGAAAATGCTATTTCAGTATTTCTACTTCAAATTTTCATGTTTAATTCAATGTGTTACTTGGCATTTCTTTGTATTTGTTTGTGAAATTTACTGGCAATTTCTACACCAATTTTTTCCCAGTGTATGATAGACATCACAAAAAATGAATACCTTTGGATTATGTATAATAATGGGAATTTAATTTACAGCAGCTGATTTGAAGTTCACCGGTCAATGTCTTGATATGTATTATTATTTAATACTCTGTTTTCGGGTGTTGAAAGTAATGCATGTTAAAATGTGACATGTTCAAACCCTCTCTCAGAAGTTGTGTGTCTAAATTCATCACTAGTGCTATAATCAGTCTAGATAAAGCATCCACTAGTTAGTTGCTGGATTACGAGTATGGATAAGCACATGGTTTTCTTCTATATCCTTTGGCCAAACAGGCTAATCTGAGAAATGCAGCTATACCTCAGAAAGCTCATCTACTGTTCATTCCCTTTATCTCTCTCCCTTCTCCATTCTGTCTGTCCCCCACCATCCCTCTCACACCCCTGCACTCCTCCTCACTGTGCTGTTTGCGTGTCCCTCCGAGATGACTAGCAGTGCAGATAGAGCAGGTCAGTGGGCGATCACCAGCGGGACAATAGCTGTCTTTGTGAAGATACACACTGATGGGGTGGTGTGGGGCGGAATGTGGTGACAGGAATGGCTGGGGATCGACAGTATGAAATAGCGCTGGACTGACGTGCTGGGCTGAAAAAAGACAGCCAGCCCAGGCCTTTCTTTCGCTTGCTCTCTGTCTGTCTCTCTCACTCACTTGTAGTCACGAATTCCCTTTTCACAACAGGGCTCAGAGATGGCCCTCAGTCGTGGAAGCCGCAGAGGCTTTATGTGCATGGCATGCTGCTGTGTGGGTGAAAAGCTCCATACTGCTGCTCTCTTAAAGTTCTGGGCTGAATGCAGGGAGGGAAGGTATTTAGTTGATTTTGCTGTGTAGATCTTGGTAATTGACATGAAGCACTTTTGGAAAGTTGCTACGTCCGGCGGTGTGTCATACTGTAGCTCATCTAAAAAGGTATTTTATAATTATCATGGTTTTTATATAAAATAAATATAAGGCAATTCAAGACAATTATAAATAGGGTTGGGTACCGAACTCGGTACTTTTAAGGGTACCGACCGAATTGCGTCGGTACTACCGAGTACCGATTCACGTTAAATCAATCGGTGCCAAATTTCGGTACCTGAGTATGCATCTGGGCGCATACGCTACAGAGAGAGAAAGAGAGACCTCATTCAAACAATACACAGGGCAAGCCGAAATGTTCTGAAGTGTGGTTACATTTCTAGGGCCATAATGGTTTCTGCGAAAACGCAGACGGGATCGCGGAGTCCATTCATAAAAACGTAATTTACTCTATAGCACGGAATGCCACGGAATTCGTCAATTTTGGACAAATAAATCAAAAGTAGGTCTGCCGCGGTTTGGGATTACTCACCGCTGACTGGACGAGACATCTGTCAATCAAGGTATACAGGAAGAACCAGCCGAAGAACAGCAGAGTCGTGGTAGAAAGTTCGGAGATGGTATTAAAGTTTACACTTAGTGCAA